ATTTGGTGAACTACATGACCGAGATGAGGATCTTCACTTAAGAAAATATTTAACTATATAGATTGTTATTTATATGCAAAAACAATCTAAAAATCAATTTTATTATGAATATAATATTTGAATTGTTTTCATATTAATATATTGATATTTTCAGATGTTATTATAGACTAAAGAGTAATTTGAAAAGCAAAAGAATTCTACTATTGTAATCATATATTTTTATTAGCTAAATAATTAAAGAATATTTTTTACTTAAAATAACATTCTAATAACAATTTAATGGTGTTTATAAGCATTGTGAAGTTGGCTAATTAAACTTTTCTTTACTATGTCCCTGTTAATTACTAACTTTACTTTTGTAAACATAGCATATGGATTAAAAAATTTAGTAAAATCTAGTGATCATATTTTTTTATTATTATTATAAAAAAAATTTAGTTCATGTAAACAATATCATAATTTACTATGATGCTTTTTACAATTTTACCCTACAAGTAATATTTTTCTAAAATTAAATATCTATTGTAATTTTTCTAAAATTACAATTTTATAAATTGTTGTTTATGAATAAAACTATTACATAAAAATAATAATAAATCTTGCAAAAATTAAACTTAGTCTTCTTGACTTGTGCAACAAAGAAGTATAGTAAAAAATTGATTTTCCGAATTCTACATAACCTCTCAAGTTTTTTTATTATAAATTAAACTTATGGATATGCACTTAATCTCCATTCATTCGAAGAAAAAAAAAAAGTTTCTTTTCATTCTTTTTTTATCTTCAAGCACAAATATAAAATTTAGATATTCAATATTAATATTTTCTACAGCCTAAATCTCAACACATATGGTTTAAAGGAAGAAGCTTTGGAGAAGATCTGCACTAGCAAAATTTTACAGGACCCAAGACCATGTTGCACTCGTTTTCACTTGGTAAGGTTTCCTATGTACCATCTATATCAACATCCTTTTTCATTGTAGATGTATTTTTCTTGGATGATTTTCTTTATGATAAATTACTAATCATATTGATAAAATTAAAATTATTACTGCAGCTGAATGATTTCAATTTTCTTCATACATCTCATTGAGAGTTTCATTAGAAGAACGAACTTGATATGCTTCTTCATGATCCATACAAGATTAAGTTAAACAAGAATAAGAATACAAGTTTGATGAGCATAAAATAAAATTGCTGAAGTTTTTTATGAGGAAAACAATCAACTTAACCGCCATTCATTGGAAGAAAAAAAAAAGTAAGTTTCTTTTCATTCTTTTTATTCTTCAAGCACAAATATAAAATCTATATGTTCAATATTAGTATTTTCTATAATCTAAATCTCAAGTCATAAGATTTAGAGGATGATGTTTTGGAGAAGATCTGTACCAATAAAATTTTACGGGACTCAAGACCATGTTGCACTCGTTCTCACTCGATAACACTTCACTTGTGCCATCCATACCAAAATCTTTTTTCATTAATTTTATTGTAGATGTATTTTTTTATATACTAAATAACTAACTATGTGGATAAAATTAAAATTATTACTGCAGCCGAATGACTTTAATTTCCTTCACATTTTATTGGGAGCTTTACTAAAAAAACGAACTTGATATGTTGATTCCTGATAACGTTGCATAAATTGCTAAGAATTTTTACTTGTTAATAATAATAAAAAATCTCATTTTTAAAAGAAATAACTACTTCAGCTTGAATATAGAAAAGAATCGACATGGCTAATTAAAATATTTTAAAATATTTCTAATTTTTTATGAAGAAATATTAATTTTAATTCTTAAATTATTTATCATATTATGATTAATTTCTATTTTTTAATATAATTTACTTATTATATTTTTTAAAAAATTATTTTTGTTCATGTTATATGACGTTAAAATTTTTGACACAACAACGAAAATCCTTTTTATTTATATATTTATATTTTATTTTTAGTAGAATTTAAAACTTGTAACAATAAGTAATAGTACACTTAATAAGAATTAATTATTTTCTTTAAACTCAGATGATAATAATAGATATTAAAGAAGAAAATGTCAACAATATTATTTTTCTATTTTTTTTTTCAGTTCCTAATAATAAAGATAAGTATTACATTTTTAAGTCAATTTTTTATATTCATAAAATAATACATGAGAAAAGTTTACTATTTATCAAAAAATAATTCAGCAAAAAATTATATTTTAAAATAATTTTATAAGTTAAAGAATTAAATTGTAATAAAAAATTAAAACTAAATAATAGAGAATAAATTAATAATTTGTCTTTAGCTAAATCATTGAAGAAATTATTGAATAAATATCAAAAAGTTGCATCCTAATTGGATAGCCCAAAGGCAAAGAGTTTGCTAACACCAAAGAAATTACATTCAATTGGTTAATAGAAAAAGCAAAAGTGATTTGTTTGGATGTGCAATTCTTATATGACCAAGTAATAGCAATCCGCTCTTTATCTCTCTTTTTTCTTTTTCTCTTTTCCTGTCCTTCACTGCTCTAATAAACAAGTTTAGCCTATCCAAATCCTTCACGTATGTGATAATCTAAACTACAATCTTACACTTTTTAGTCTCTCAGTCAAGATCTAATCGCACAAACCAAACTATACCATTCCCTCCCTTCAACTAATAATAATAATAAAAAAAAAATTAAATCTTCAAATGGGTAGTGCTCAAGAAAAAAGGACAAAAGGATACAGCAGCCTGGTGAGAGAGAGAGAGAGAGAGAGAGATAGAGGAGAAGAAGAAGAAAAGGGTTGGCATGTACCAGTAAACTTACACAAAGTTATAAAATTAGTGTTGCAGCTGCTTTTAGAAGTGCATGCTTTTATCAGTGGGTAAGTTTGTAACTTATTCTAGTCAACCTTCTTCAAACTAACAAAAAATAATAATGGGTCTTCAAAAGAATTCTTCAATTAAAGCTGTAGAGGGAACAATCATTCCTTACATTTCTCTAATCCTATTACATTCATTTCTAGAGGAGCATCAGAAATGCCTGATTGTGGAGCAAGCCCTAACTTAATATATAGATTTTGACAAATAAAGCAAGCCCTAACTTCATATAAAGATTTCCCTTCTCTGTTTGCTTCATCAGATATCTTTAGACATTCCTCATCCTCGGTGTAAGAATTCAAAGCCAAATATTTTCAGTTTCTTTGCCACCATGTGAACTTCTATGAGCAAAAATACTCAATCTCAAATGAAACACCTGCAATATCTGACCAAAAATACTCTTCTATTTATAACACTAAGTTGTCTTGCATTAAGAGTTTAGATATGACTAGGGTAAAGGTAGGAGAAAATCATATTAGGGATCTAAAGAGGCTATTCTACTGAAATTATTGATTTTCTCCTTTAAATATTAACATTAGAGTTCTTACAGTAATTTAACATAGCACAAGTACCATGAGAGGATGCTCTTCCCTTCTGGTTAGTCCCTTTCTTGGTACATTTACTACAGCACTTCCCATGGGTGTATAAAAGACAGTTCAGATCAAATTTAAGTTCGTTTGGAATCCTTCTGTTGAGATGCAGGTATGTCTTGTTCCTGTCTGCTGTAGCTGGAACCCAACCAATAGCCTTTGCAATCTCAAACACCTGCACAGATGTCCAAGATTCATAAATTTAATCGCATGAGATCACTCACGACTAAGCGAACTAAAACTTGTTTCCTTCTTTTATTTTTATTATAAAAGAAGAAATATTATTGGAGGGAAAGAAAAGAAAGTACATAGTATAACTATCTATAAGATATCCTCCTACAACAACGAAAATAAAATTGAACAAAGACAAGCAGACTTCGATACAAGATAGCTGCCCAATCCCTTTATGAACTTACATGTTAAATATATAAAACAGGCACCAAACAGATGCCTCCCATTACAAGATAATTACAAATCAGTCAAAATACAAACTCACATGTGTATCCACTGGAAAATCATCTTGCTGAAGATGAAACATCAAAACACAAGCTACCTGTCATCAATGAAACACTTCTCAAATTCCTACGCAAATAGATCAAGCACATATATAAAAGCTTAAAAACTTTATCCACAACCCAGAAGATACTGGACAAATGATATTCTAGTGCTGAATCTGATAATTCTCTTTTTTCGAAAACAAAAAAAAGAAATCCTGTTCTTTTACTTTTTGGACAATATAGAAAATGTTGAACATGGATAAAAGTGGAACACCAGTAGATTAATGTTAGAAAAACAGTCAGAGTTAGATACCAATGGTTTCAATTTTATTTTAGTGGTAGATTCTAATCTTTAAGTCAAAGTAGCAGTATCTTACCCCTCTGCTCTCACCAAGAAAAGGCGAGTGAACTGCAATGCCGAAGTTGGGCAGCAATTATAGATGCATGCATTATTGATAAGCCAAATTAGGAATCATAAGAACTCCTGTCACCCCTTTGAAGCTTTTTCAATAAATTGGCATGCTTTATCAAGCTTGAAATGATTGGAAATGGTAAGACTGATTTATGCCCATAAAGAGCTCTAATAAGAAAGATAAGAACTTAAGTAACACCACAACCAATATTTTCTTATTGATTTTGTCCATAAAGATCACATGAAACATCCATAACATCGAATCTAGAACAGAGAGAAAGAGAGCTCAGTAATTAGTTTAACATGGTGAAAAACACAGTCTGTCTCCTCAAAAAGAAAGCTAAAGTTCGTCAATTGGTCAGGCTTCTTCTAGGGCAAAAGGTTTGGAGTGATTCACCAATTAGCATTGATACAAAACTCAGCAGATTGCACTTCCTGGAGGGGGAAAGCTTAAACTAATGTATAAAAATGGCCATTTCATTTTTTTTTAAAGAAGAAGTCGCCATTTAATTTGCAGGGCTTAACTTGGATAACAAAGAAAGATTCAGTGGTGAAGCCAAATTAGAAACTATAAGAACTACAGCACCTCCTTTAAAGAAGATCTGCAACAGATCACCATGCTTTACTGAGCATGAAACGATTGATAACAACAATAAGACTTATTTAAGCTTATAAATAACTTCAACAAGAAAGATAAGAATTTAACAACACAATAACCATATTTTTATTTATTTTTTATTAAAGAAAAGATAAATTAAGTTAAAGCGTATAATAATAAATTACAGCCTCTATAATTTATTGTAATTAGTTGCTTATTTCTTTTTTCCGTCCTAAAAACCTGTATATATAATGCTATAATATTCAATAGAAAACACATCAAACCATACTTTTGGTTAGAAAACTTTAAACTCATTAACAAACTATATTCAGCTTTCATTGTGAAACAAGAAAACTCAAAAGGGAACCTTCATTGCCAGCTACCATAACCCTAGCCACCAGCCATCTCCACCAAGACCGGTCTTTGTTGTCAGATCCAGTTTGCCCAGCCAAGCCGTGTACAACCCCAGACAGGCACAATCTGATCATCCCTCAGCAGCAGTCGCTTCAATCATGACCGGCAGACACGACATTGCTCTCTGTCATGACCAAATGCAACTTCACTGTCCCGATGATTGTTCTATGTTGTGACTAGACGCGACATGAAACCCTAGCAGTGCAACTCTCAGTCGCATGTTAAGCTGCATATTTCGGTCACAGAACGTGGGAATAAAATAGCTGTTGCGGCGGAATCGGTCAACAAGCAGTTGCTGCACTATTCCATTTCCTCCATTATCTTTAGTTGCTTAAAAGTAGGAGTTTACGGTTGTATTTTTATGTATTTAAACAATCCCAAACAGCAAGGAAAGCAGACAATTATTAATCTAAAATATTGTGGTTTATTCTCACCCGAAGAGAATTTTTTTATTAATTTACTTTGGCTTCTGACTGGGACCTAATAATTGGTATCAGAGCGATGGCAATTGATAAAAAAAAAATAGAAAACTTAGAAATCAGTTTGGGAAGGTCGCAGGATCGTTTGAGCAAAATGGAGGTGGGTTTCGTTGACAGATTCCACCAGCTCAAGGACACCCTCCGACGGCTCACTGACACTTTGGTGTTGAACAGAGAAGAATCCAGTAGCAATGCCCCAAGTCGACCGGGCCAGACGCAACCGAACTGCGACAACGGCACAGAGAAAAGTGATGGGGGCCGACCACCTTTCTACTCCGATGCAAAAAGCGTTGCTTTTGCAGGAGATATGCGGAGATCTCTTACACATGGAGGGGGAGGCACTGGGGAAGATGGTAACCTCCAGATTGATAGAATTGATGAAAGGGATGTTATTTCTAAACAGTTTTCTGCGAGTTTGGATGATGCTCAAATGCAGACTATTGGTACTGATGATAAAATAGTGGAGGTGTATGAGATTGACATGGAGAAACTGGAAAATCTCCTGTCTCTTTTACAAAGCTCCGTTGGCGATGCTCTGGTGTTCTGTCTTGCTAATATGGATTGGAACTTGCATCAAGAATTTGTTGTTAAAGTACTTAGAACTCCATATAATTTGGGAGAGATTTTGATTATGTTTTTCAAGTGGGCAATGAAGAAGCCGAAGTTCAAATTGACAAGGTCTGTTATGGAAGCTCTTGTTCATGGTGTTAGTACTGGTTTGAGGAAGAGGAAAGTCTATGCTTTTGGGGATTTGATTAAGGAGGTTGGGGAAAAGGAGAATGGTCTATTAAGCATAGATATTCTCAATGAATTAATAGCTTCTTTATCAAAGTTGAGTAAAGGAAAAACAACTTTGGAAGTTTTTAACAAATTTGGAGAATTTGGACGCAACCTGAATGCAGAAATTTACTATTTCACCATTGAAGCACCTTTGTTGGTGTGGATGGTGGCGGCGGTGGCGACAATCGTCATGAATGGAAGCTTTGATGATGAGAACGCGAGTCCTGAAGGGGATAAAGAGATGACGAGAAAAAACTTGAGGAGGCGATGGGTTTTGGATTTGATGGCGGAGGGAATGTGGGAGAGTTGATTGAAATTTGGTTGTGAAGCTTCTCCATACTATCTGATCAGGTTTGAGCTTCTTTTTCAAGCTCATGTAATTTCTCATTATGGGATGACCTTGTACAATAAGACCATACAAAAAAAAAATGTATTGGGTTGGAGAATAGTGATGATGGAGAGCAGCAAAAAAAAAAATATATATATATATATATATATATTGGATTGGAGAATGGTGATGATGGAGAGCAGTAGAAAATATATAAATATAGGATGGATTGGAGAATGGTGATTATGGAGAGTAGAAAAAAAATAATAATAATAAAAATAAAAAAATAAAAAAAAGGACCATCAGAAAAAGAAGTAGCATGGAAGAATACTGCCGGCAAAAAATGAATTAATAATCTGAACCTTGAGGACAAGGTTCTAAAAAAAAAGAGGGAGACAATGATAAGATCCGAAGACGTGGTACAAGTTGACAGTTAAACCATTTTCCCACAACCAAAGCAATTCTTCCACAAAGTCCCACTACCAGATCAGTTCTCCTACAACCAGAGCAGTTCCAAGCAGTTCAAGCAGTTATTCTAGATTTTTCTATTTAAGCATGTACGCAATTGCAGAAAAGGAGTGAAAAATCAATAATTCAACTACTGAAAGTGAGACCACAAACAACATGGGCTCTGTTAAGGACAGTGGATCACGCAGCGAGTCAGATGCGGATGTGACCCAAGAAAAAGTTCTTTTG